CTCTCTCTCTCTCTCTCTCTCTCTCTCTCTCTCTCTCTCTCTCTCTCTTTGTCATGCTGCTCAGTTGTGCCAAGGCTGCGCTACACGTGCCCCAAGGGCAAATTCACCTGCCGCGATCTCAGCTGCATTTCGATCGTGCATCGTTGCGATGGACGCGCCGATTGTCCGCACGATCGCTCCGATGAGGAGGGCTGCCGTATGTCTAATAGCTCCCACTCTCACTCGCTCTTCAGCCTAATACATTATACTTTGCGTATATTCTCTTTCTCTCTCCCCTGTCTATCTCGATCTCTTTCGTTAACTGCTCATGCAGCCTGTCTGTACGACAAATGGCAGTGCGATGATGGCACTTGCATCGCTAAGGAGCTGCTCTGCAATGGCAATATCGATTGCCCCGAGGATATATCTGATGAGCGCTATTGCGATGGTGAGTGTGTGAATGTGTGCGTGTGTGTGTGTATGCCTGCCTATCAGTGTGTGTGCGTGTGTGAATGCGTGGGTATTTCTCTGTTGGGCTGCTCGAGTGTGTGCTCGTGCACTCGCAGGTAAGTTGGTTCGCTCCCACGTCTCTTCTCTTCCCTCAGCCGTTGCACAACACTGTTTTGCACTTATCGATACCCCACTACTGACAGCTGTCAACTGTCAGCTGTTGCCTTGGTCAGTCGCTGACTTCCTTCCGACACTCGCCGCATTCGAAACGCATAACTAATCCGCACATAGTCTACTATCGACAATCGATAATACATTATTAATCACATATACCAACACACACCCACACACACACATACACTCAAACAACTCAGGTGGCTACGATGCCGATCAGTGTCTGTACAATGAGTTCCGCTGCAGGAACGGTGAGTGCATACCGATGCGTCAGGTGTGCGATAACATCTACGATTGTAACGATTATACAGACGAGGAAAACTGCGGTAAGTCCTTCGTCTTGCATTGCTATCGATAGTTATTATATTTGTGTCTATGTTTCTTCGTTTCTCTCTCTCTCTCTCTCTGTCTGTGTTATTGACATAAGGTTTATATGTTTAAAATGCTTACTGCGATTCTCTGTTTACAACTTTTTGGTAACTGTTTTGGTAACTACTTGGTGACGGCTCTAAACTCTCGCCCTTTACTCCCTCTGCCCCCGTGTCTCCCTCTCTCTCTTTCCCTCTCTCTCTGTCTCTCTGCGTGTTTACCGCTTCATTGATAATTCATTTATCGATTGCTTCTGCGTTTCTTTGTTTAGCTCTTATGCGTGTCAACTGCCCAAGAATTATGATTTTTTCTTAACAAATTTACATTTTATTTCTCTTTTTTTCCAATTCGCCTTGAAAACAATTCGATAAAAATTCTATAAAACAAATATGTGAACGAACTTGGTTGTGGTTATCGAATGTCCAAAAACTAATCGATTAATTGCACGTTACAACAACTACAACCCAACTCCCCGCAACTGGAACAACGAATCGAAATCGACAACAACAACAACAACAATTATATCAATTGGCTCCACTGCGAAATTTGCATGCTCCAAACATAACAACAAAAATCAAAATCAAAATCTAAATCAAAATTTGCATTGAAATCGAATATCGATGTCCAACCCATTTGTCTAATATCCTCATCCTATATCCATATATGCCGGGTTTTGCATGCGGTCTATTACCATACCCTGCCCGAAATCCCTTCCTTGCCCTTACAACCCCGATAACAATCGATTGCGATAAACGCACGCGGCCGCTAACAGATCCGAACGATATCGGAAACAACATCGCTGATGATGTGTTCGATCGCGATGGCATTATACGCCAATATGGAGACCATCGCCGTCCTCCGCCGGCATCTGGGCGCGATAACGCGAAAAATAGATATGACGATGGCCTGCACGAGCTCGATGCGGATGAGTACGAGCTGTACTATCCGCTGGATCATTACGCAAAAGCAACTCCCCAAAAGCCGTGCGATGCCAATCACTTCAAGTGCCAGAATAATGTTTGCATTCCGATCCGCTTACGCTGCGATGGGTTCCACCACTGCAACGATCGGAGTGACGAAGCTGATTGCGACCGATATAGCCCCCCAACAACCACCAGGCGACCCGTGACGCTTGCGCCCACGCGCTATCCCTGGGTAACACATGGGCCCGCCCCACTGGAACGGCTGACAACGGCTGCGCCGCCGTTAAATAGAGTAACACCGGCTGCCACGCGTCCCACCTACACCACTAACCCAATACCAATAACAACGAGAGGAGCTGCATCGAGTAGGTTCCCTAACTGTATTAGCTCGTATTACCGAGTAGCGGGCTGGTTTACATTCTGTGTGGGCTTTAAAGGGGCTACGAGCTACAACAATGAGTAACGTATAATAAGTAACGAGTGACGAGTAACGAGTAACTAGAGTAACCAGTTACGAGTGAAGAGTACCTGGTTACAAGCTATGCCACTCTCGTTGCTTAGCAGTTGAAAACTACAATTATCAAGTAACGAGTGACGAATAGCGAGTAACGAGTTATCAGTAGTGAACAATAGGCTATAAGTAAGAATTGACGAATTACTACTGACGAGTCAGAAATGACGAGTATTCAGAAGTAACGAATAATCAGTTGCAAGCTATGCAGCACTCGTTACTTCATAGTTGAAAGCTGCGATTAACGAGCAACGAGTTACGAATCAAAGGCTAGCTACGAGTCTCAAGTAATGAGTTACCAGTAGCGAGTCACTTGGGAAAGCCTCGTTACCTACTAGCTTCTAATTACACTCATTAAGTAACGAGTAATCAGTTGTGTATCGTCGTTTAAATGGGCTTGGGTTCTGGTTAAATGCCTTGGGTTAGACGACTTTGATATCAAAGTGCATGCCATGTCTGTGACTCTACAATTGAAACATTGAAACACTGAAACTTACTTAAGCTAAACACACACACACACACACACACACACACACAATCAGCTAGTTATAAAGTAAAGCGTTTAATTTAGCATTTAACGTTATGTTATTTTTAAATTTATTAGCCCTAGATCGTTTTTAATTATAATTGCCACACACACACACGCACACACGTACACACGTATACATTACCAGCATTTCCCTCTCTATGTATATATACAACTCTCTCTCTCTCTCTCGTTCTCTCTCATGCACTTATTGTGAATCTCTATCTCTCTTTTTATGTTATTTTTATACGTGCTCGCTCGTATTATTATAAATATGCCTTGTTGCCTGCCAAACACCAATACCGAACATCCTGACATTTACACAAAAACAAAACCCCAACACCATTTATAGACAGCTCATCATCATCATCATCATCGTCATCATCATCACTGGGCAGCAATTGCCTCGAAAACATTGAATTCGCGTGTCACAATCGCGATTGCATTCCGATTGAGAGCGTCTGTGATGGCATTCCCGACTGCCAAGAGCACGAGGACGAGGACTATACGCTCTGCAATTGCAGCGCTGACAAGGTGAGTTCTCGCACACATACACCCAACAACCCACACACACCCACACACACACAGACATAGAGACTCTCACCAACAACATGTGTATTCCCAGTACAAATGTGTGAGGGGCGGCGGTTGCATACCCAAGACTCAAGTCTGCGATGGCAAATCTCAGTGCCGCGATGGTAGTGATGAGAGCGCATGCCGTAAGTAAACAAAAAAAGAAAAAAAAGAAAACTCCTATCCATGCCCCACCCACAAACCACCCTCAAACCACCTATGAACCCACCCACACACACACACACACACGCTCTGGCGCTTGTATCTCGCCTGCAATACGAACTAATTATCCAACTAACAACATACCTAATCTAGATCTTAATTTGTTTAAATTGATTAGAGATGGGCGCGTGTCGTGACACGAGGCAGCCACATCAAATTAATTGCTAAACAAACACTAGTATAGCCTCATCTAACAGTAATATTCTTACAAAAAATATACATATTTATTATTTATTTATTTAATATTAGTTATTTAGTTTATTATTTTAATTATTTATGAATTTATTTTCTTTTATTTTGGTATAGTTTTGCGCATGAGTTATTTGGTATTTTATTTGGTATATACAATTGAGTATAATTAAATAGCTTTTACATAGTGCTATAATCACACTTAAAACTCGAATCCCTGATCCTGCTTCCCCTGCCTCCACCTAAAATCCTATAGAAGAAACAAAAGTATTATCATTTGTCATGCCGCTAACTGTACTCTTTTCTCTTCTTCTTCTTTTTTATTTATGCTCTACGCTTTTATCTGAAAAATGCAAATATATATGTATACATACACCTAATACAAACAAAAATATACATATATATTTTTTGTATATATATATACTATGCGAACGTCGTCTCCCTTTCGCTCTTCCACTATTCTTCTGTCTCGCTCTCTGTGAACTATGCTCAATCTTCAACAAACAACAACAACAACAACACATCATTCCGTCATACCATCACACAACATACATCATCAGACTTTCATGCCAAATTCAATCTGAGCCGCCCGATCGTCGAGTGCCAGAGCTTTCAATATCAATGCGGGGACGGTAGCTGCATTTCTGGCTATAAGCGCTGCAATGGCATCACCGACTGCGCTGATAGCGCCGATGAGTACAACTGTCTGATCAATTACGATACGAACTACGGTACAGCCAATGAACAGAGTATAACTAACCTTAGAGATACATACATATATATGACTAATTGGCTTAGAGCTTGATGGGTTCGCAGCAACCACTGAACAGAGCGAGTTATCATATATCTAATATCTGACGCAACATTTCTCTTATCTTACACACACACACACACATTCACTCTCACACACACACCCACACCCAAACAAACATACAAATATATAGACAGTGACTCAGACACAGACAATGATAATGATCCCTTGAATGAGTGCGATCTGTACTACTTTGAATGTGACTTTGGTCAGTGCATACCCTTAGAGAAGAAGTGCGACGGCTATGCGGACTGTCAAGATGAAACGGATGAGCTCGATTGTCCGGCCTTTACAGGTAAAGAACCACACGTACACGTACTCACACACCCACTCACCCACTTACACACACACACACACACACACACACAAGCTAAATGTGTTGCCTATAGTGTGGCTTTACTGTATTTACCTAAGAACTGTCTAACTATTTACGCTCACGAAACTCACACTCACTCTCACTCACACCGACACCCACACACACACACACATATACATAATCATGATCGTAAACATTTTGCAGAGCATTGTCTAGAGCACGAATTCGAGTGCGATGATTACTGTATACCGCGCGATCAGCTCTGCGACGGTATTGTGAACTGCAACGATGGCAACGACGAACGCAACTGTACTTCATGTCGCAATGAGGCCTATCTGTAAGACACCTTCCCAAAGGGCTCAGCTCATCCTAGCCATCATCATCGACACGAATCTGATCAGCTATTCTATATATTTCCATGTACACACTCATGCACACACAACCACACCCACACATACACACACACACTGCAACACACGATCATCGTCATCGCCATCGCCTCTATCATCGATAATCGATAAACTTATCGCTCAATCGGCAGCTGCAACACGGGCGATTGCATTGCAGCCAAACTGCATTGCAATGGCATCGCGGACTGTTCCGATGGCAGCGATGAGCTCAACTGTGGTAAGCACACATAATATAGAAAAAAAGTAAAAAAAAAAGAAAATGAAGAAACTCTCCCCGAATACTGACCTCTACCTACAAATCCTCAATCTGAAAATTTAATCAATTACCGTATCAAACCCTCGCACTGCAAGCGTAGCTGCATCGTAGTCGTAGCACTTATGTAGTTTGAATTTGTATTTCTTTTGATTTCTCGACATTTTTTTAATCGATATTTTGCTGTAGTTAGTTGTGTCTAACTGGTAATATAGTAGCCCAGCTAAGACAGTTTTTGATTTTGTTATTTTCCCATATATTTTGATTGTTTTGCATTACATTTTAAAGGTAGCAGCTGTGCGATAGATCAAATCGCCTGTAACGGCGCCTGCCTCGATTGGTCGCTGCGCTGCGATGGTATACGCGACTGCGACAATGGCGTCGATGAGCTCGATTGTCCGGGTAACGATTACACATTCACTTTATGCTTTCAATTCTGTAGACTTTTCCTTCGAATTTAACTTAAATCTTATCATTTCTACCAATCGATAGTTATCGATCTGTATTTAAGCTGCGTTCGCTTTTACTATTCGAATTTTGCGTCGACACACTAAACTCTTTTTGTTTGAAATGCTCGCGCTGCTTATTAAGCATATTTCTAACTTGATATCGATGCAAATCAATAACATGCAGAGCAGCAATTATTTTGCATTGCTTTTGTCATGTCATTTGATAATTAATTTTATATTTTGTAATCGACAACTACAATCGATTGTCGATTGCTTTGCTTTGCTAAATCAAGTTTTGCATAACAAGTATTACGTTTTCGTTTATTCAAATTTTACATAAAAAACATTTAGTTTGCTTCGATATATATCGATTAGTATTGATCGCTCATAAGGAGCCCTATCACAGCTGCTTTCACACTCTTCCATACACCGTCATCTATCCATCTGTCTACTTCTCAGTTACTCTCTGTCTCTCTCTCTCTCTCGCTCTTTCTTTTCTTTCTTTCTCTTATTCTTTGCTCTTTTGCTATCTCGTTTTGTCTCACAAGTCAGAAATATTTCGCATAATTTTTGTAATGCTCATGCGTTTTTTTTTATTTTTTACGTTTGTTATTTTTGTCATTCTGTTTTAACAAACGCCACACACACATACACACTCAAACACACACACACACACACAGCTGGCAGCAAACATTTTAGAAATACAACAGTTAGGAAATGCCAACCATATCAATGGCAGTGCTCAAACTCTGAATGCATTAACGCCGATTTTTTGTGTGACAAACATGCCGATTGCACGGACGAATCGGATGAATTGCCGAGTAGATGCTTGGGACAGGGTAACGATACACACAATTCCATTAAAAAGCCAAAAAACTCATCCCCACCAACCAGTCAACCACCCCCACTCGATCCAATCAGTCACCCATTACCAAATCGAAATCCAAAAAGCCAAAGAAAACAAAAATTATCCAAACCGAAACTCCAATTCCAATTAGTTTAAACTCTATATATACATATATTCATATATAATTATAGCTGTAAGTTAGGCTCTTAAGCGTTTACCGATAAACAGCGATAGATAAAAGTATATCGCAACAGGTTTGTATTGTCTGTATATCTATGTAATACCACTAAGTGAGTTTGTGTTTGTCAACTGAATGTTGCGCTTCACTAATGTCGACTACTCAACTGATCTCCAGACAAGCATTGCTCATCTCGATTCTCTTCTCTCTTTCTTGTTATGCTACTGAAACACGCTTAACTCGTATACGCTATCGTTATCGCTATCGGTATCGTGATCCTGATAACGATATCGACATACACACACACACACATCACAAATAAATTGCATGCCATCGCCATCGCCATCTCGATATCGATATCGCCATCGCCATCATAGCCACCGATCGATTGACCGCTAATGACTGCCGACGGGATCAGTTCTTTTGCGATGAGTCGTGCTTTGATCGTTCGATATTGTGCGACGGAAATATCGATTGCATTGACCGCAGCGATGAGCGCGACTGCCATTTGCATACTACACGTCATCCATTGTATCCGCCACTACCCTGTCCACAGCACACGTGCCCCAGTGGCAGATGCTACACGGAAAGCGAACGCTGCGACGGTCGTCGCCATTGCGAAGACAGCTCCGATGAGGCCAACTGTAAGTATTTCATATTCAATCCTAAAATCAATATCATCGCCATCAAACAGAATCACAGCTCGCTACTCAAACAATTTCCGTAACGCTAGGGCGCATGCCGAACGCACTCACTCACCATCAGGGAGAGACCAAAACCCACAAGAGAGTTACAAGCTTGTAATCCAGTTATATGTTAATCGATAGGCTGAACTTTAGCGCTGGCTTAACTCAGCTTAGTTTTTGGATTTGTGAGAGTATCCTCAAGCTTAACCAAAGAAAAGTAATACTATTCCCAAAGCTACATTCATAATTTTCAGCTAATTGCCACTTACTCATAATCATCAGAATAGTTGTATTGTTTAAATGATCGATAACTTCCAGCTGTTAATATATTCCAAGAGATTGTCATTCGATCATGCCAAATGTCTGACGTCTTCGACGTTGAAATTATCGTTTTAGCCTCAAGTTAATTCCAAAGTGCAGTCTATGTATCAAAAACACTCTAAGCAAAGAAGTTGCACTCGCTAAAGCTATCGATATAAATACTTTGTTAGGTATCAAATTTATACTTACCAATAAGACTTTAGGAGCTTAAGATTCTTTTTTTGCTAAGGATAACTGCTTAACGCACACTCGCTTTTGATAACCTTTGAAGCTGTGTTAAGTTTTTGGATTCGTATCTTGCATAGCACTTGAGGCACCTAGTTTGAGTTAGTGTTTGATTGACGTACTCGTAATCGTACATATGTTTAGTTAGTTATATGCTTTCTGTTTTCAGTTGCTGATCAATGTTGCTCACTCTCTTTCTCACTCACCACTTTCTCTCTTTCTCTCTCCCACTCTCTTTCTCACTTGCTTACATTTACATCGACACACTACTATAATTACAATGCACTGATCTATCTATGTATATATGACTATCTCTCTCTCTCTTCAAATATAAATATATGTACTTTAACTATCTCTGACATCTTTCTTTTTGTCGCTTTTAACAAATTCTTTTGCGAAATTGCACCAAAATTAAAAAAAAAAAAAACAACGAAATATTATATAAATATTAAACAGGTATTCAATGCAAGGAAACCGAGTTTTTCTGTTACGATCGACAGTTTTGCATAAATGCAACACAGCACTGCGATGGGTATTACGACTGCAAAGACTTTTCTGATGAACAGAACTGTATTGGTTAATAATCAAATTTCTGCAATTATTTAAGCCGTTATATTAGTTGTAGCTGTACTTTGTTTTTAGTTCGTACCTAAGCCAACTGCATGCTAGCTAAGCGAAAGAAACTCTAGTCCAAATTTAAGACACAACGATTATTGGAATACGATATTTACGATAACAACACGAGTTACACATGTGTATGCACTCTTTCGTTTCTATACGATGTATATATTGTCTACCTCCTATATATACCAATATATATACACTATATAACTATGATTTGTCTAGCTTTGGATTCCGTACAGCTGTAGCAAAAGTTCTCTCGGAACTAGTTCAGTTAATAATCTTTTCATTTGTTCGCTTCCACACAGGCTGTGCTTCGGATCAGTTCCGTTGCCGTGACGGAAATTGCGTGTCCCAGGACGACGTTTGCAATGGAATCAGACAGTGCATGGATGGCTCGGACGAGGAGAACTGCGACATACTGCAATGCCAGCATAATCAATTCCGCTGCCGCAACGGACAGTGCGTGAGCCTGACCGCTCGGTGCAACGGCAAGACCGATTGCCAGGATAGCTCCGATGAGAGCAATTGTGGTAAGTAGCCAGTTGTGGGGGCGTCCTTAACTGGGGCTTAGGCTAAGGCGACCAGCAACCAGCTTGACTCGTCCTCAAGAACATCATCATCATCAACATGACCATCATCATTGTCATCATAATATCATCATCATTGTCATTGATTGATCACTGATTGATCACTGATCGTGATGAGGTCATCAACATTTAGCTAGCTACAGGCCTGCATCGCCAACAAGCACCACCACCACCACCGCCACCACAACGACAACCACTACGGTGGGGCCAACGACAACTACAGCGCTGCCTGTGGGGCCATTGCGCATTATTTGCCCACCCACCGCGTTCCGGTGTGAGAATGGTCCTTGCATAGCGCTCACCGCGCGCTGCAATGGTGTTATCGATTGTCCGTTCGATGCCAGCGATGAGCTGGACTGTGAGCCCATCACTAATGAGATCGATAGTAAGTGCTCAGCGACCCGCGTACCATCCCGATCAACAACGGTGTCAGCACAAACAACCCCAACAACAACCAACACCACCACCACCACCACCACCAACAACCATAACTCTTATAATATTAGCTTAACCAATCAACCAGAGTACTAAACGGTTTGGGAAACAGAGCGAGTCCACTATAGCTATACTCTCTCGATTCTGCATTTAATACTTTATTCTATAAATACGACTAATATTATTATTCGTTTGCAGTAGCTCATAGACTAATGCCCCGTGTGTACTTTTTGTTTTCACAGCATCCGATACATCTCCTGCTGGTCGCAGCCAGTTGAACCTGAAGACCTATCCGGACAGCCAGATCATCAAAGAAAGTGAGTTGAGAGACCCTTTAGCGCTTAATACGATAGAGGCAAACAGAAAACTAGAACAGAGAGCCTTGCAAAAGATCGATTATTTATTGCAACTGTAATCGATATACGATATCGACAATGGCAAATAAATGGCAGTATTTTCAGATATTCGATTGCTTTGACTTTGTCACATCGATTATCGATACCATTAAAGAAGATATCGATCTATTTAGTTGATATTGATCAACGATACCTATAAATTCATTTCGCTATCGATTATCACTTTGATATCGATAGCTTTGTCTGTTATTGATCTGAAATATTGCAAGCTCATTCGCCGCTTTAACTTATCGTTGTCTGTTCGATAGCTCCATATAGATATGTAATCAAAAGATGTCTATCGGGATCCTTCTTTTGCAAGGCTCTATGGGCGCTTCGAATCCATTCGAAGAAAATGTTGTATTTCATTGTTTTTTGTCTACAATGGTTATAATGGTTTGTTTGATTCTACATAATGCTTTACCATTACTTTTAATGCTTAACCCAACCAAAATGACATAACCCATAAATTAAATACCTACAGGATATATTAGGGAGGGTAAGTTGGCCTAACTACACACTCTTTATAAATAGTAGTCACTCGTCTCGTACAGCTGCACCACTACTGCACCACAGCAATTGGCAACAGGTCCGGCGTTGTACATTCTGTCGAAATTGATATTATTATTGATGTTGCAGTCAGCACCCACACCTGCTAGATACCTTAGAACAATCACATCTCTAAATCCCCCCCACACACACAATCACAATTCAATTGTATTATAGACCTACTTAGATCCAATACTTGCTCGCTATGCTACCAACTATTAGATAAGCTTCTATATATATATATAAATATTTATATACGTTCCATGAATAGTATCTAATAATTGTTGTGGCATGCAGGTCGCGAGGTCATCTTCCGCTGCCGTGACGAGGGTCCAGCCCGTGCCAAGGTCAGGTGGACACGCCCCGGCGGTCGCCCGTTGCCTGTTGGCTTCTCCGACAAGGGAGGACGTTTGGAAATACCCAACATACGCGTAAGTTACACTTGTTCTTATAATATTCTCACTCGATTATGATCTATCCATTGTATCAATAGGTGGAGGACTCTGGCACCTATGTGTGCGAAGCTGTTGGCTACCCGAGCTACATTCAGGGCCAACAAGTGACCGTCCATCTGACTGTAGAACGCTGTAAGTATAATCCTGGGTGGTTCATCAATAATCCCTAGAGATTTTGTTGGGTTTGATTGGGCTTTACTCTCCATTTGCTACGAATTTTGCTTGGACGCAGCTTGGGGCGAGCAAAAATACGAGGAACCAAAATCAAATCGCATCAAATATGGCACCGTTCCGCATATTGATCTTGAATTCTTTGGTCTAGGTAAATTTGAAAATTGAGAGTAAGCTGATTTGGAGCTGGACTTGGTCTTTGGAAGATAGTAAAAAGCTCTCTTGGGGAATTTCAATATACTGAATTAGAATATCTGTGTTAGGTAGCATTTGTTGACAGACCTAGACCAATGTCAGCTCCATGAATCATATTTGAGCATTAGATAATCAATGAAATATTTTCCAATTTCCCCACTGCCAACCTGGCCATTATGCTGGTAAGACTAAATGGGTCACAACTATGAGAGAATTCTTGAAGCTATAGCTCTGTGCGTGTGCTCTTCTCTTCGACAGTCAATATCGACGAACACGAACGCCCACCGACAGCCTGTACCGCATACCAGGCGACCTGCATGAACAGCGAATGCATCGACAAGTCGGAGATCTGTGATGGTGTGCCCAACTGCTCGGATGGATCCGATGAGCACCGATGCAGCCACGGACGCAGATGCCAGCCGAATCAGTTCTTGTGCAGAAACAGCAAGTGCGTGGAGCGCACATGGCGCTGCGATGGAGAAGACGATTGCGGCGACAATTCCGACGAGGAGTCCTGCGACCCCGAGCCCAGTGGTGCGCCCTGCCAGTACGACCAATTCCAGTGCAACGCCGGCCACTGTGTGCCCAAGAGCTTCCACTGCGACGGCATCAACGATTGCCTCGATGGCAGCGACGAGTTCGGCTGCAGTGAGTAACCAAACAAAACTGGAAATCAGTGACAATCTATTGACATTCACATAATTTGCATTGCAGCGGACCCGAAGCCCCTGAGAAAACCACCACCGATGCAGTCGCTGATGGAGGGACAGGCCCTGAACTTGACTTGCACGGGCACGGGTGTGCCCGTTCCGACGATCATTTGGCGCCTCAACTGGGGCCATGTGCCCGACCAGTGCACGTTCACGAGCACGAACGGTCGCGGCGATCTCTATTGCCCCAACATGCAGTACAAGGACAGCGGCGCCTACTCCTGTGAAATAATGAATACGCGCGGCACCATCTTCGTAACGCCCGATACCATAGTGAAGGTGATACCTGATCGCAATCAGGTCTGCAAGGCTGGCTTCTTCAATATGCTGGCGCGTTCCACCGAGGAGTGCATCAAGTGCTTCTGCTTCGGCGTGGCCAGCTCCTGCGATAGCGCCAATCTGTTCACCTATGCCATACAGCCACCGATTCTGTCGCACCGCGTGGTCACCGTCGATCTGACGCCCTATCAGCAGATCGTGATCAACGAGGGCAGCGGACACTCCCTGCTTACGCTCCATCATGGTGTGCAGTTCCGTGCCTCCGACGTGCAATACAGCAGCCGCGAAACACCCTACCTGGCCCTGCCCAGCGAGTACATGGGCAATCAGCTGAAGTCCTATGGCGGCGAGCTGCGCTATGAGGTCAACTATTTGGGCAGTGGACGTCCCATTTCTGGACCCGATGCCATCATCACCGGCAATGGCTTCATACTCACCAATCGTGTCCGCACCCAGCCCAATATGGTGAACAAGGTGAGGATCAGCTTCCTGCCAGGCAATTGGCTGAAGCCCGACGGTCGCAAGGCCACGCGGGAGGAGATCATGATGATACTGGCCAATGTGGACAACATTCTGATACGTCTCGGCTACATTGATTCGGTGGCCCGCGAAGTGGAGCTAACCAACATTGCCATGGACTCGGCTGGCACCACGGATCAGGGTCTGGGTAGTGCCTCGCTGGTTGAGAAATGTAACTGCCCGCCTGGCTACATTGGGGATTCATGTGAGAGCTGTGCACCTGGCTTTGTACGCCAGCCGGGCGGTCCCTGGCTGGGTCGCTGTGTACCCTTCGTGCCCGAGCTCTGCCCGGCCGGCACCTTCGGTGATCCGCGCCGTGGAATACCCTGCAGCGAGTGCCCCTGCCCGCACACCGGCACCAATAACTTTGCCAATGGCTGCAAGCTCAGTCCCGACAACGATGTCATCTGCAACTGCCACGAGGGCTATGAGGGCAGACGCTGTGAGAGCTGCGCCGCCGGCTATCAGGGTAACCCATTGATACCGGGCGGTGCCTGCTACAAGACACCCGAATCGCAGTGCAACATCGAGGGCACCTACAACCAGAACGCCGATGGCAGCTGCGACTGCAAGGCCCTGGTCACCGGAGATCGCTGCGACACCTGTGCACAGAACAGCTTCCACTTGAATTCCTTCACCTATTCCGGCTGCATTGAGTGCTTCTGCAGCGGCCTGCAGGCGGAGTGTACCAGCACCTCGTGGTACCGCGAGCAGGTCAGCAGCAGCTTTGGCCACTCCCGAGTGCCGCATGGCTTCCAGCTGGTGCGCGACTACACGCAGGCGAGCCCCCAGTCCGTGCCCTTCGATACGCTTTCCAATGAGATTAGCTTCAGGTCCGGTTCGGAATATAGCGCCGACACCCTGTACTGGAGCCTGCCCGCCCCCTTCCTGGGCAACAAACTGACCGCCTATGGCGGACGCCTCAACTATACCCTCAGCTACAGCCCACTGCCCGGCGGCCAGATGTCTCGCAACAGCGCGCCCGATGTGGTCATCAAGAGCGGCGAGGATCTAACCCTCATTCATTTCCGCAAAGCAGCCGTCAGCCCCAGCACCTCGAACTCATACGCCGTGCCGATCATTGAGAGCGCTTGGCAGCGCATCGACGGCGAGGCCACCAATCGCGAGCATCTGTTGATGGCGCTCAGCAAGATCGATGCCATCTATATCAAGGCCACCTACACCACCAGCACCATGGAGGGATCCCTCAAGCAGGTCGTCATGGACGTGGCCACCTCCAACGGCTATGGCACCCAGCGCGCCCTTGAAGTGGAGGAATGCCGTTGCCCCCAGGGCTACATTGGATTATCCTGCGAGCGCTGCGCACCCGGCTACAAGCGCAATGTCGAGGGCGGCCTCTACCTGGGCCTGTGCGAGCCATGCGAGTGCAATGGCCATTCCACGCAATGCGATGCCGAGTCTGGCGAATGCCTGGTAAGTGCTAAACACCCTCTCAAACAATGTGCCTTGTTCCACTTCTAACACGCCCCTCCCCCACCCGCCCCACACAGAGCTGCGCTGACAACACCGAGGGCGAGAACTGTGATCGCTGCGCCGCCGGCTATGTGGGCGATGCCACGCGTGGCACGCCCCATGACTGCCAGCCGGACAACAGTGGGCCACAGCCGCCGCAACCGCCGCAACCGCCGCAGCCGACACCAGACGATCAGCGCGAATGCCAATGGTGCAACAGAGACGGTACTGAGGATTGCCGCAACGGCGTCTGCTACTGCAGGCGCAATGTGGTCGGGCCACGCTGCGACCAGTGCCGCCCGAACACCTTCGGCCTGGCCTACAGCAATCCGGATGGATGCAAGGACTGCTTCTGCTCGGGCCATTCGTCTCAGTGCCGTTCCGCCGTGGCCTATCGCCAGCTAATCGCCATCGACTTCATTAGCAACAAGGCCCTGATCACGGACGAGTACGGCCAGCAAATGGAAATGGACGATAGCAACCTCAAGAAGGACATTCCCAATAACATGTACACCTACACCTATCCGTCCTACTCGACCAAGTACTGGAGTCTGCGCGGCAATGTCCAAGGCAATCAGCTGCACGCCTATGGCGGCCACTTGAAATACACCCTGGACGCGGAGTCCTTCGGCGAGTATCAGCCCGGCAACGACGTGGTGCTCATTGGCAATGGCGTGCGGCTGGTCTGGTCCCGCCCGGCCAAGGATGCCCAGCTCAACGAGTACAGCGTGCGCCTCAGCGAGGAGGAGCAGTGGCTGCGCTTGGACAGTGGCAGCGCCGTGCCCGCCTCCCGCCACGACATCATGAGCGTTCTGGTCAACATCGAGCATCTGCTCATTCGTGCCACACCCAAAATCCCCACCACTCGCACCTCCATTAGCGATGTGACCTGGGAACTGTCATTGGACGCCGATCAGTTCGGCGCCGAGCGCGTCACGGACATTGAGCTGTGCCAATGCCCGGCCGGCTACACGGGCAACTCCTGCGAGAACTGCGCTCCGCTCCACTATCGCGAGCAGAACGGCCAGTGCCGCAGCTGTCCGTGCCAGGAGGAGAACACCCAGAGCTGCTACCTGGGCAGCAGCGGCTACGTCGAGTGCCAGTGCAAGCAGAATTTCAAGGGCGATCGTTGCCAGGACTTCGGTAAGTAGCACGACACCATACATCGAAAATAAGAGACAAAGCCAAATGAAACCAAGATGAGGAACCCATTTAACTGGATCTATCTGTAGCTTGGTCTAGAATGGGCACCCGACTTAGATACACACCGATTGTGCCCCCTCCCGGGCAAGTCGATTGGACGCGAACGTTCAGCTTCTGCAGCTCGAATTGACCCACAAATCATGATGATCCAGCTCTTATCAGAATTCCGCTTACCCCGCTCTCTCACTCTTATTCTCTCAACCTCTCTGCCCCCTCTCGCTCTCTCTCTCTCTCTTTCTCTGAAACACAAACACATACACGATATGTCCCTTCAGCCATTTTGTTTTTTTACATATATATTTAAAAATACTTTTTATCTTAAGCCTAGCTATGCTCTCATAATTTTATACAATTTTCTACATATCTTTCAACTTTATTTTTTATTCACCACACACCCGTTCACACCACAACCAAAAAAAAAAAAAAAATCAAAAAAATAATCATTGAAAAAAAAATCCTTATACGATCATCTTTATCCGTGAAATGTATGAAATCATCAAAACAAACATCCAATCCATCCACATTCTAGACACATCGCGCATGATTGAAGAGTCGCCCAAGCTATGCGATATATACAGGGGATACTGTTGCAACGGCTTTCGGTTCGATATTGAGCCCAACGAGACAATATCGTATAATGACACTCTGCTGATTTATAAGGGCAACAGAGTGATAGGAAATATAACGAAACTGCGGAACGGCTGCCATCAGCGAGGTTCGCCAATCATCAATCAATCAATCGATCGATTCAATCAATCAATTAAACAAAACAAACACACACACTCACACATACACTTCAAAACAAACGAACAACAACAACAACTATCGCTATCTGTCTCTCTTTAATTGCCATCTATCTCTCTCTCTCTCTCTCTTTGTTCTCTGTCTCTGTTTGTCCCATATCAACTGTCTGTAAACTACTTTTACACTGCGAAAAATTATCCATTTACCCAGTAGTCAAATCATATCTCACACACATACACACATACATATAATACTGTATATTTATATATGTATACGTACATAAATACATTAAAATATTCTTAGACTTCCTTCTGGTAGAAATTGTTTATTACATTTCCCCTATAGTCGCTCCCAGTGTTCTGAATAACTCCAATCATCATCATGTATATCCCATCCATTGTAACTCAAGAGAGAGATTTTTATACTGCTAGGAAAAACAAAATCGTATCTAAAGAGAAAAAACAAATTTTGTATGTAATTATTACATTTTTTGTTTGTAAATTTTCAAATAATTCAAACTATGTTTTAATGTTTTTTTCTCAGTAGCCTACAATATTTTCAAACAGGGTTATTCCCTGCCTAGAAATCTACTAGACTCCTCTCTGTCCCTATCTCTCGCCTTCTCTTTCTCTCTTTGTCCACTTTTGTGCATACCTTGTAGGCGCTATCCCTCCCTCTGTCTTCCTTTCCCTATTTATATTGGCTCTTCTCCTCTCTCTCTTTCATTCACTCACTTTCACTCAGTGTCTCTCTTTGTGCTTACTATTGCAGAGCTTCAGCGCTCTAGATACCTCTAGAACTAAGCTCTACGCCCATGTTGTTGTTTAATTTGTTTTCGATTTGTTTTTCTAGCACCGTCTTAAAAACGAAAAGTATTTTATTTGTGTATAAAGAAAATATGTGTGCCTCATCGCTATGCTATGTACTCATAGTTGGATAACTCTGTGTATAAATACTATCTACTCTAGTAGGACAGCGAAGAAAAGCTAATTTCGGCATGCCGAACTTGAAATGCTCTTGCAATCAAATATAAGATTTAAAATGTTATCATAATTGACATTTAATGAGACCTAAACCCAAATAGATTATATATATTAAGAATATTTTGGAACACTTAACAAAATTTGATACCAAATTCGATTTTCTAAATAGTTTTTCCGATATGGTTCTATTATAAAACAGTCTGATTTAATGCTTTCCATGTACATGTTTAAATAGCTTTCTTAAGAAACTGAATAACGAAAGGTTCTTCAAGAACTACATGATCTATGCCCGATTTCTTTAGAATACAAATTTGATAAGAAAGAATCTCTGCAAGAGCATAAAACCCATTATTTGAATACTTTCTGAAACTCTACAGTCTACTGTCGCTGTCACTGTCGTTGTCATGTAGTCGGTGATAAATTTAGCAACTATTAACTAACCCCAACTCTTTAGAGGAACTCCCATTCACACAATTGCACTCTGAGCTAAGAACACGGCCAGCTCAACGTATCTCTCATACTATATAGATTCTCTATATAAATCAATAAATATGTGTGTGTCAACTCCTATTGTAGTCCTAAAGTCCAGCTGCGACTGGCATTTGGTATATACCTGTGTAGTAGTTGGTGCCTAAAAACAAACTATGGAAGCTACCCAACCACAAAGCAAACGAAACCAAATCCCAGTCCCGAAACCTCCAATGCCCATTTGACCTTACCCAATCTTCCAAACGTTTTGTGTGTTTAGCGTTAATAAACCGCAACTGTGTCACTAAACCAAATCGTAAAGAGTTGAATTCCTAACAGTAAATAGTGTAAGCGTATCCTGAGTCGCATTAATCGTTTCACTCTGCATTAACCCATCAGACTATGGAATACCAGAGCCACCGACCACCGAACAGCCCGACAATATACGCAGCCAAATAATCGTGTCGATATCGAAGCCACAGATCACGATAATGCCCGTCGGTGGTTCGATTTCGCTGCACTGCAACGGACGCATGAAGTGGAATAATGTAAGTGATTGATTGAGAAGTGCTGGGAAATATCATGCAATGTCATCATTCAATTCGGCCCCCTTAGAATCCCGTTGTCGTCAGCTGGTACAAGCAGAACAGCCAATTGCCCAACACAGCCGAGATCTCCGGCGGAGTTCTGAGCCTCTATAATATGCAAGTGACCGACTCTGGCGTCTACATCTGCCGTGCTGTCAACAACCAGACCTCACGCGCCTACGAGGACATGGTCTCCATAACCATAACACGTAAGTCTCTTGGACCCTATTGCTTTTCTCAAGTCCGGATAAACAATCTAAAAAATTAACTAATTTAACATGCGGCATTCGCGTAAAGGATATGCCGAAGAAATGCTGGCACGCTATGGTAGCTATTGAGGATTCAATTGATTTCATTTACCTAAAACCATTCATGCTAATACTCTCCCTCCTCTCGTTCTCGCTCTCGTTCCCGTTCTCCCTCTCGCAGCGCATTCCCAGCGCTCGCGCGCTCAGATTGTGAATCTGCCGCAGACGGTGACCTTCAATGAATATGTGGAAAACGAGATCAACTGCGAGGTGGAGGGCAATCCGGCACCCGTAGTCACCTGGACACGCATCGATGGCCAAGCGGACGGAAACACGCGTACGGATGGCTCACGCTTGATATTCGAGTCGCCGCGTAAATCGGACGAGGGACGCTATCGCTGCCAGGCGCGCAACGATCTGAATGTCGATGAGAAATATGTGCAGGTCTATGTCGTGGGCAATGCGCCGCAGCCCCAGCCGCCAGCACGGGATCGGCTCTACATTCAGCCGGAGAACTACAACGGCGAGTCTGGCGACATAATTCGCTTCGTTTGTCAATCGACCAGCGGCGCCCAGCTGCACTATGAGTGGCTCCACGATGGCTATCCACTAAATGTCCCGCAGTCGTCGCACGTGATCATTAGCGGCGATACGCTAGAGATTCGAGATGCTACCACCCGGGATAATGGAGTCTACACGTGCGTTGGCATCGATTTGAGAACGCATCGCAACTATACCGAAGATGCACGCGTCTATATCGAAGAGCGACAGCAGCCTCCCATCGGCAATGGGTGAGTTAAGGCACAACGAATGCCATGAACAGCTTCAAAAGATTTAGTACAGATCTGTAGAACTGTATTTTGAAATGCATAATGGAATATTTTAAAAGGACCTTAAGGTCACTGTGCATGAAGACAATGATCCGAAGACGTACTTAGGTCTTAGGACGTTCATAATTGATTATTTGAAAATAGGAAACAGTTTGAGTATAATATAGAAGGACTTATATCCATCTCTCTTAAACGATTCGACGTAACTGAGGTCGAACAGGACATGAACGAACATCCTACGGACATCCATATGGACATCCTTACGGATGGTTTTAACATTTAAGTTGAATTTTAATAACGATTACAAAACATTTATTTCTTGGTTCTCCTGCAGCGTTGTTCCCCGTATTGTGAAACTCAAGGAGCATCACATCATATATCAGGGCAGTGACTTGAGCATTACGTGCGAATCGAGCGGCTCTCCCTACCCTACCATTAAATGGATGAAGGTTCACGACTCAATGCCCTTGAATGTCCAAATCACGGGCAACGTTCTGACCATTCACAATGCCATGATTGAGAATCGTGGCTGGTATGAGTGCACGGCCCAAAATGCCCTTGGTAGCGATCAATCAAACACTTATATAGATGTTGAAGGTAAGTGCCAATCTATTGCATATAGTCTAAACAATCCATATGATTCTATTATCGCATAACTATGTATTGCCCAGCGAATTGCTATTGACCATCGACAGCAACATCATCTCGTTTATCTATAAAGAGAGCTCTAGACATTATGCACAAATATAAATTGAGCCGATTTCAAGTAAGAGAGCCTTAAATTCCAACTTGAGGCTTACGATCTTTCGCTTTCTTGTTTATGCTTCAATGTGAATTAAGCTCAATTGATTAGTCAATCAGAATTAAAAATATTCAAGAATAGCTCAATAGAAATCTGAATCTGAAAATGTATGGAAACTCTTACATACTCAAAAGTTTATTAATTCAGCTAAAAGCTCGAATGGCTTGAGCAAAGTTTAGATTAAGCAGTCAAATCGTTGAAACTTTAATATAAGGAACTTTCTTGATATTTTCTGGCACATTCAATAAGAGCTCAGCAGCTATAGACTAAACCAGATGATGTACTCTCACAAAAAAAGGAACGCCGAGTGTATAACAACTATCTTTGCTCTGTTTCTTCCTTCCCATTTGCTTGCCACAATCAATTTTGACAATGTTGGTAAATTAATTGAACTTGAAATAATTCTCCCATTTATATATATATTGATAATCTTAATACTTAATAATACATACTTAATAAATGCAAGTGCACAAGAGTGGAGTCGGTAATAAGACAGGTCCGCACAGTCTGATCCTAATACTAATCTGTACAACCACCATAATTTACTTGATTGCAGCTCGGGAGCGACCGAGCGTTGAGATAGAGCCGATAAGGACGCTCACCGTCGGCGAAGAGGGCGAACTTTCTTGTCGCGGCCATGGCATACCCGAGCCGACGGTGCAGTGGCGCCGCGTCGACGATACACCACTCTCGTCCCGGCACATCGAGCAGTACCCGGGCTACATACTGTAAGTATCACTACTACTACCAATATCCCATATCGACTCGATGATAATCGAGCGCGCGAACTGCGCATTTCTTTTGCAGCATCAATAATGTACAGGTAGCGGATAGCGGAGACTACGAGTGCTCGGCCGTGAACACCGCTGGACGCACCACAGGCGTTGTGACGCTGCGCGTGATAGAGCCACCGGTGATCCAATTGGATCCGAGCGAATCTCACATACAGTACACCGAGGGCGACGAGGTGCGCATCACGTGTATTGCGAGCGGCACACCGAACCCGACCGTGCAATGGGACGACCAGCCGCTGGTTTACGCGCTGGACAATCGCCAGATTGGCTCGAACACCGCCTTCTTGAACATCAATCGGGTGACACAGGCGGATGCCAGGGTCTACGTGTGCAAGGCCACGAATGAGGCGGGCACCGATGAGCGTGCCATACGCATCGAAGTGAAGCCTAAGCGAGGTGACATCGGTGATCGTAAGTAGCTCAGCCAACACACCGTCTCGCACTGTCCAGCACTACATGCCGACACCTCTCTTTCTCTCTCTTGCGCAGGCGATGGCGATGTGGAGCGCGATCCCTACGTGCCGCCGAACTATTTGCCCCAGCGTCCCAGCTCGGACCCCAATCAGCGTTTACTCACCCACCTGGGCGGTAACGTGACCCTCACCTGCAACCTGGATCCCTATTTGAACACCAAATGGACGCGCGTCGATGGACAGCCGCTGCTGCCAAATGCTCGCTCCGAGCACAATAAACTGACGATCACATTCGTGGAGGAGCACAATCTCGGCCAGTATCGCTGCAATGCCATGGATCGTCGCGGCACAATTGTAACGTATCTCGTGCGCGAATTGGTGCGCTCGCCACTGCCACAGATCACCTTCCGACCCAACATCCCGCTCGAGGTGGAGGCCGATCGCAATGTCGAGATCTACTGCGATGTGACAGGCGCCCGGCCCGAGGACGTGAAATGGACCACCGAAAATAACCGACCACTGCCTAGGTGAGTCTGAAGCTATTTTCGTTGGCTAGCAGGGATTGACTTTTTACTTATCATGAGGGAATAGCACCAATTCCTAGCTTTGGCTGTATCAGCTTACTTCTTTTGTTTTCAAATCGATAATTATCGATATCAGTTTGTTTTTAAATGAAGGAGATGTATGTATATCTGGCGAATGATATATTGTAGCATTCGAATGCATCATCCTAAAAGTATGCACTTTAAACAGTATTTTTGAAAGACCAAATGTGAACCATTTTGTTACAGACTCTCTTAAGATATAGCTGGAATAAATAAACAAAAAATATATAATCAATCCCGATTACAAGGTACAGTCTGATACTCGAGATTTAATGATCGATACATCAAAATGAAATACGAAAATATATATAGATAAGTTCCGGTTCCAGTTAATGAACTTCATATATGTAGGTAGTTGACTACATTAGGCATCTAAAAATGCAATAACAGTATAACGGGAGATTGAGGGCTATCTATTTAAATCGGCAAAATTAAAATAGATATTTACAGAACCACTGGAATAAATGTATAATAGCATAAGTAGAGTCTAATGAAATTTGCATATTACAGTTTGAGAGTCACGACAAAATAGGAGAAAAATGAAATAGTCAAGAATATAAAGAATATGATTCTTCTTGATTCTCTCTCTCTCTGTTAGCTGTAAAGCAGCAATTGTTAATCCAAAATCGATAATAATATGTATGTTCTCTTTCCAACACCATCTCTCTCTCTCTCTCTCTTTCTCTCACTTTCTGTCCGTCTCTCCTACACAGCTCCGTGCACATCGAGGGACAACTGCTGCGCTTCATAGCTATAACACCGGCCGATGCGGGCGGCTACAGCTGCACGGCGTCGAACGAGTACGGAAACATCAGCAAGATCGCCCAGGTGGTTGTGCGTCCGCCGGCCACCTACACGCAGCAGCCGATATCGCAGCAGCAGCAGCGTCGTGAGGGCGAGAGCATCCAGATGCGCTGCTCTGTGACAACGCAGCGTGGCGAGCAGCGCGGCAATACGCAGGTGAGAATGCTTAAAATCGAGTTAAGGGCAATCGGTTTATCGAGCATCGATAACAATTGGATTACTTGCACAGTTCCACTGGTATCGCGAGGACGGACAGCCGCTGCCCAACAACGCTCGCTCCGACAGCCAGATCCTGATACTGACATCGTTGCGCCTGGACGATGCCGGTCGCTACATCTGCGAAACGTACGACATCAACACCCGACAGAGCTTACCGCCCACCTACGTCGATTTGAGTGTACAGCGTGAGTAAAACCCTAGAACGTCACCCTTAAAAAGAAAAACCACACTGAACATACTACCAAACCAACAAAACAAACAAAAATTTATATATAAAAAAAAAAAACAAAAAAACAAAAAAAAGATATATAAAGTAAAGAAAAAATCCCTCTACACATAAACCCCAAACACAACAGATATCTCTCTATTATCTCCCCCTATCTCTCTCACACATACACACACAACACACACGATTCTAAGGCCAGAGAATTTCAATTGCAAAATGATACCAAAAACAAGAAATATATATACCAAAAATACCACAAAAAAATTAATTATTATTAAACATTAACAGAAATCGAAAGAAAGTAAAAATGAAAAGGATTAGGCTTTGTTGGCAATATGAGAAAAAATATATATATTGAATCAAATCAAAGGAAGATATAAATGTTATATATATACGATATAAACCGAAGAGCAGATTGAATGATTGAAACCGCTCGCTCGCTGATTTTACTTTGTTCTTATCAAAACCTCTATATGTATATATATATGTATGTATATTTGTATATGTATATGTATATGTATATATGGGTAACAATTTATAGATATCTATATTCAATGTCCATATGTATATGTGTATCCATATGTGTATGTATAGCTCTAGCTGCTACTACTACTTTGACTAAACACATACACACACACACACACACTTACATACATACACAAGCACACACACGTATATATACATATATGTATATATATATAAGTATGTATATATTTCCTGTAAAACAGATCAATGTTCGGTAAAAAGCAAAAACAACAAAAACATGTAAATATGCGAGCCTTTAACTTATCAAGTATCTTAACTACAAATGTAATCATACACACAAACTCACACAAACATACCTACAGGTAATAAACAGTTATAACGGATACGGATTTGTTGGTTCTAGGGTATTACACCGCTCTGTATATATGACAATAAGCTACTAACAATTGTAACATACACACACACACACACCCATACATATATAAGTGCAACAATATACCAATATGATATATAGACATATCATATATAACATATACATATGTATTGGTACTGAACAATTTTGCAACACTGGTGAAGGTGTTTACACTCACTTTGACACTGACACACATATGACTTTAACCAAATACTGCAAAAATACCACAAAATACCGCAAAAATACCGCTAAAATACCTAAAATACTATGTAGTATGGCAATTGTTAAGCAGCTGAAGGCGCATGCCCACACGAGAATAACAGATACGAACCTACGAAACGATCCGAAACTGCCTCGAAAGAGAGCAACAGCACGCACTGACTAAAAAACCACTCACCCACCCACCACGCCGAACAACAAAAATGCCACGCCCCCACACAGCCAACATCTCTTTATGAAATTCGTTTTTTTCGATACACTTGAAATTTATTAATCTTAAGTTGCAAAAAATGCTAAAAAAAAAATTAAAAAAAAAATACGTTTCAATACACATATAAAACGCAAAATTTAATAACCAAATGAAATTCTATATATACTATAATACTTAATGAATATGTTTTTTTTTTTTTGTTTTTGTAATTATTTTACATATACACAAGCACATTACGTAAACATAATTATTTTTAAACAATAAAATTGTAAGCTTAACAGTGGCTGCCATAAATCTAATATCAAAATACGTTTTAAGTCCCAGCTGTGGTTTTTTTTTTTGCTCTAAGTCCCGACAAATAAAATAACAAATAATTAACCTACATTAATTGTCTAAAAGCAAAAAAAAAAAAAAAAAAAAAATCAAAAAAAACTTGTAACATATTTTTTTTTTTTTCGTTGATTAACCTTGAGTTAGATATACCCTTGCAGTAGACTATACGAACTTGGCCGAGAGCTTAGCTAGGTTGAACTTTGGTAAAGTTGAACTAGGTGCTGATGCGATCAGAATTTCGAGAGCTGTAGCATTGAAAATGATATATAAGAGATTAAAGTTAATGGAACTTTATTTTTTTTATTATTTTTATTTATTTCCTTTTTCAAACTAGTTTCACTAAGTCTTAAGAAATCGTTTACAAAAATAAAATGAAACTCTGTTTTTTATCAGTCTGTTTGTCTGTCTATTCAGGGTACCAAAAATATAATTTGGGAATATATATAAAATGATTTTCCTAGACTTTTGGCTTAAAAAAGCTTATAAGATAGCTTAAAGGATAAAACTTTAGAATGGGATTCACATAACTCTGTTTTCCTGGCTCACTCTTCCTCTTTATCTCTCTCTCTCTCTCTCTCTCTCTCTCTCTCTCTCTCTCTCTCTCTC